CCCCAAAACCCCAAAACCCCAAAACCCCAAATTTACACTAAAGAACTGTTCTTAATAAATTATACGTACAAAATATTCATAATTTGAACCCATATTTGTTTGTACAAGTCACTGAGGTTCAGGTAGAAGCTGGAGGGTAGCTGAGGGCGAGCAGAGGCCCAAGTGATTTTGAGGAGGGAGGTGGGGGTTTAGGTAGAATACTGACTGGGATAGTAGATATTTGGAAGTGAAAGAGATGTTTTTATGTGGGGTTTGGGGGGTTAGGGATATAGGAGTGGCCTGGAGGGGAAGATAGGCAGGGTTTTGGGGTTTGAGTGGGATTTGGAATTTTGAGAATAGTGTCAGTTTTGATGTAGTTAGGCAGTTTTAAGTGGTTTTTAAAGATTATGTGGTTAAATTATTTTTTACAGTATCTGTTACAGTATTAAAGGCAAGGCTGGTTCTTGTGCTTTAAGGTCAATTTGAAAGTTGTTGAGATACTGGATTGGACTTATTTTGGTTGAGTTCTCTGGTATCCTTACCTTACAATATAAAACTACTATTTTTCTATTGGCACTTTTGCTTCTCTCAGAAAGTGCTCACAAGTTGAGACAGACTCCAACCGGTGGTTCTGATGACCAAGGTTTGAGAACATTATTTGAGCTCCTCAAAGAGCATCAGGTTTTGATGTCTTGTTCAAATTTCAGTGTTTTTTTAAACTATCTTCGATGGATCCAAAGACAATTTGTTCTTTTGGATATAATCTATTGCTACCAAGGATAGCAAGGCCATCATGTATACCATAGAGGATATGGTACTACATCATATATTAGCCACTGCCAATTAATATTACTCAATATAGAAGTCAATAGTGGGTGACTTTTATAAATTTGCAATTTTTCCATTTTGAATCTTTATTAAGACAATTTAGGAGCTGCAGGAAAAGGCTCACCAGGACCAAGATTAGATAGACAAAGACCTCCAACTGGTGGAGAGGGAGAAACCCCTCTAGCTTTACTAGAGAACTAAAACACTTCATTAATGAAGAGAATGGATGCAGTAGAACTGAAATATTTTGTGAACATTCTTTCTACTAGGTTAGTAACAATGGAATATCCTCCAAAGTTTAAGTTGATTCTTAGAGCTTTTAATAATCATTATTTTAGACACTGTTCTTAAGAGCATGATAAGGATTAAAGAAAGTTTGAACATGAATGTAGTCCCCCTGATTTTGATGGTGACTTTAGTGAGGCTTGCTCAAGTGAAGAAAAATTCAATATGAATATAAATTTACTGGAATCTACTTAGACCGTTACTGCTTGGAAAGGATTACATTGCATCTATTAGCCACTCCTCATTATGCATGGCCCATCCAGAGACTGAAAGCTTTGGAAGCGACCTTCATTCTTAGTGTACAAGTGTGGAGCTGGCTGCGGAGCCTTCCGACTATGCTTTCTAGAAGTAGCAAAGAATTGATATAGTGCTAAGTGAGTAACTCATGTTTTTAGGTGTTTTTATAGTTGGTTACTCAATTCTGAACAGCTTCGTGTCTAGAGCAGATCACATAAAATTTGTATCCGCTTCGGGGTCATTTATCTTGGAGTGTAAGTTTATACCTCTGTTTAGAGAGGATTAGCTTTTCAGAATGCATACTTATTTACGGTCTTACTTCAGTTCTTTTAGCAGCAAGTGCAGAAAAGTTGGTATACTTCTAAATGAGAGTGATCGCTGAGTTCTGCCATGCTTTCTATGAGACTTTGGCCTTAAGGATGTTTATCATCGTTAAGACCAAACACTCTGTAATTTTTCAATAATTACCCACAAAAATGGGGTTTTGGGGTTTTGGGGTTTTGGGGTTTTGGGG